GGCAGAGGTTGTCGTCTGCAAAGGCTTGAATCAGGGTTGGAATAAAGGACAAGGATATAGATAGGTATGAGGTTTACTGAGCTTTGCTGGCTCGACTTTTCCTTAGTGGGCGTCCAACTTATGCTGCAGTATCCCTTACAGAGTCTCTATTGTACTACACTCTATATCCCAGAGATGAAGTGGGCGTGAAAGCGCGTCTTGTGGGTGGGGTTTTTGTGCGCGTTTTGTTTTGAGTGTGGCGCGGCTTCTTTTCTGATGGTATACTGCAGACATGCCTTTGTCCTGCGAAAGTCGTCTCAACAGGACATATCCCACGGAAAACATATCTTACGCCATATTCAGTGACGAACGCAGCCACGCCCACTTCACCTCCGGGATATGTAGGGTACGTTTCTTCCTCTTTCGTTTGCACGGCTTGCGCCATCGCAGTTATGCGACCTTTGTTGTCCTCAGACTGTCTAAGGGTCAGCACCAGCTATAAAGAAAACGCATTCCATGACATGGGATGGGCGGAGACGGGGAACTGCATCTTCATCCCTGGTGTCCTCACCCTCCTATGAGGGAAAAGAGGGGGAGCTGCGTCTGTGGAGCAGTTTCCTGTCTGCGGCCACCGCGATGACGCTGTTAAACTTTACCCAAAGTGGTGGAACAGGGGTTGCTACAGTTGAACGAATGTGCATTATTAGCACCGTCAGCCAAACATATATTTAGCTCCCCAACGGTCAGAGTCTATCCTTCCGAGGTCGGTCTACGTAGCCCAGGTAAGCCATGTTAACCCATACGGTCGTAGAACGAGATCCTTCGTTTCACATGTCCTTTTTATTCGTTTTGGAGCTCTCAAATTTCCCTCCAAGACCAATCAGATGCTAACTCACCCTCTTTATGGAACTGTCCTTTTAAAGCTGCCCGAAGTAGCCAAAGAGATCTGAGTTACGGCAACGTAAAATGGTGCCGCAACTCGGACCACTTTAGTTGCCTTCGCGGCTTCTACACCAAAATCTAGCTCCTCAGACGCGGAAGCGAGGGAAAAGCCGAGTCGACTAACTCGGAGAGGCTGCACGTGCCAAGCTACCTTCTGGGATTTATCGCAGTGCAGAACCTTTCCCGGACCAACAGTTGCGTGTTGAGTCGACGCGCAACACGTCATACGCCCTTGGCTGTTTATACTGTATTTTCAGGTGGAACTACCTCTTCCTCATCTGCGCTTAGTTCTAATTAGAACTGGTATTCTATCTAAAAAATCGTGCTAGGACTCACCGCTCTGACGTTGATTGTCTCCGGTTGGGTTTGACAGTCGTATGCATTTGAAACAGCATGATAAACAATCTGGTAGAAGAGAATGTTCTGCGGATCGGCCGAAGGAGTCCACGAGACGAGACCAGTTCCGTTTGGTCGAAGAACGACAGTCAGATCGGATACCGGCTCAGGAGCTGGAATTACTCGGATGGCCATGGAGCTTATACAGCGCTTCAGAAGAGATCTTTACAACTCACGACACAGAAGACTTCCACGGCCATGAACGTCTCTACATTGGAGCGACCTGAAGTTGGCCGTGACAGGCTTGCTCATTTGAAGCTTATCAACGCTGACCGCAGCTACTGTGACCGCATAATCGGTCGCAAATTCGAGATGGGGCAGAAGAATAGAGGACGATGAATCCTGGAACGAAATGTTCTTGGTCTATCGGGAAAAGAAGTGGGTAGGATTCTCAACTGACCAATGTGATGTCGCGAGTGAGCTGAGTTGAGGTATTACTGAGTTGAAGCTTGTAGTAACACGAATCCTGTGGAGTACGTGGCCATTCAAGATGGACGTTTACTCCGCGATCTGAGTTGTAGCCATTCTTTATGACGAGAGGAGCAACTGGAATGGAGTTATCATTGGCTATCACTTAGAAGGGGCTTACGACTCAAACAAAAAAAGCCCAGCTGCTTACGTGGTGGTCTTATCTCGGAGTCAGCCAAAATCTCTGTCCATGGGCTGGTAATCGTTTCACCGAGTCGACCAGCTGGTCCAACTGCCGTGACCATAAAACGGTACTGTACGCCAGGAATCAGTCCTTTGACTTGGAAAAGGGTACTGGATTCCACCTGGAACGTGAGTGCCTTCAGTAAATGTTTTATCGATTGAATGTCTAGGAGTCATACCGATGCAGTAATCCATTGACTTTCGTCATAGTAACCCATGGCATGGGTACGCTGCTTCCACTGGACAACATACCTGGAAACAGTACCATTGGAATCTTTGTGGTGAAATCAGGCTGAAGTCTTCTGAAGGAATATTCCCTGCCGATAAAATGGGCGGAATTACTTTTTTTTACTGCGCACTTCTCATTGGTGGGCCCATCCTTACGAGATGGCAAGGAGGAGAAACACACCGATCAGAGGGTGATATGGACCAGGTGAATCCGCTCGAACAATGAGCGTGGTATGACGTTCAGGAGTTGTATGGTGGCGAGAAGCACCTTTATTCTCTATACGGACTGCAGATTTGGACCCTCCCTGGGACAAGTGTGCTGGTGACGGTCTTGTCCAGGACAAGTTAAAACCCTGACTAGTCGCCTTGTGGTTCTGTGCCCACCGGATGAGCCAAATAAACCGAATACCGAGTGCTTGACACATTTTAAAGGAACTCAACTAAGGCGGAACCCCCATTGCCATTCTTGGGTTAAGGGGTTTGAATACGAATGACAAGGCTCAGTAACTAAGCACAGTGAAGAAGAGAGCAGAATAGAATTGTTGGGAAAGGCTTCCTGTTGGTTCTAAAATGAAGCGATGTGATAAAGGTAGAGATCTTAAACGCAGGGGCGGAGACAATAAAGCGTGGTGAATACTTAGCGCTCTTATTAAGCATTTTAATGCAATTTTAAGAGCTGCGAAAGTGAGACACCTGCAATTCACGAAGTGCGCCACTTGGTCCAATGAAAGGCCCTGGACGCTGGCTAATCGAAGATTCTAATTCCAAGACCAGCTCTTCGTTCAACATTCTTTTCATGCCACCTTTTCATGTTCGAATGTCCAGTGGCTTACCTTGTTGGTCCACCGGGTCTGAGGAGCGAAACGCTGACGAAACCCTCAGAAGACTCCCCAAATTCCTCATCAATTGAAGGATTCTGACACAATAGCTGTACAGAAGAGATCAGGGTCGAACCGGCTTTCGCTGAAACACTGGTAATCTTTAAAGGGCATGATTGGG